TCGGTAACAGCATCTGGGCACCCCCCCTCCCATGGGTCCTTTTGTTCGGTAACAAAAGGGGACCTTGGAGTCAGGATGGGGGGGGGGGATGAGCCTGAGACAAGCTGCCCCTGCCCGCTGCTCCCCTGGCTGATGATCTCACGGGCACCTTAGGGCTCAGAAGGAGAGAACCCAGTTCCTGTCTGAAACGGGGCCATGGGTGCGCCCTGGAGCGAGTCCCCCCCCCCCCCCAGGTCTCTGCCTGGGCGGTTTTCTCTCTCTTCTGTGGGCGGGAATCTCAGGGGAGGCGTCGGCAGAGTATCCGTCGGCTTCCCAGGGGTGTTTTTTAATACACCGATGCATCAAAATGAGCACGTAGGGGGGTTGGGGATTATTCCTTGGTCAGCATCACTGTTTTACTTTAAACTTAGGTGTGTCTGGCTCTGATGGGATTTTTTTGTTTTGTTTTGTTTCCCTGACATCATCTGTGTTTGGGTTCATTTGGCACAAAAGGCATTAACTGGGTCTCTGTGGTGTAGTTTCTCTGACAGGATGATTGAAGCTGTGTGTTCTCTGTTCGGGGAGGGGATGTACGAACCATTTGCTCTCCAGTGTCCTCGGTTAGGGGAGATAATGTCTTGCGATTCACCCGCTGCCTGTAAATGATTCACATGGTTTGGCCTTGCTTAGTGTTCTTCCCTCAGTTTCTCTATCCTCTTGCCTGGGAATTTTCCTTGTTTCTTACTTTCTTGCCTTGCTGTGATTCTGTACTTTATGCAAGTAAACTTTTGCAATGTTCCAGAATGTTTTGTGACAAGAGGCTGCTCGGCTCAGCTCAGGAGGCCCTCCAGGGGCAGGGGAACGTAGCTCCAAGCCACAGTCGAGTTCACCGTCCCGCGTGGATGTCAAGGCCTCCGCTGTGTCAGGATTAGTTAGAGTCTGGGGACAGAACACAGAGCAAGAGCAGGCCCCCCGCTCTGTGACTCTGGTACCATCGTGGGGGAGATGAGCTACTGGCAGAAATGACAAAGAGAAGTGTAATCATGACAAGTGCTGTGAGGGGAAGGTCACTGATGTCATGGAAGCAGGTAACCAGGAGGCCTAGGGGTCCCCTTGACCTACGGGTCCCCTTCCACTGGTCTCCATATTATATGAAAGATGTAAAGACAATGGCACTTGAAACAGAAAATTATACACAATGGTAGAACATGAAAGATCACTTGGAAATTAAAAATGTCATCGCAGAAATGAATAATTCAATAGATGATCTAGAAGATTCCAGCTGGACTCCTGCTGAGTCGAACAAATGGAAAAAATATGGGCGAGCTGGACAAAGCACTTAATACTCTTGTGAGAGATTCCAACAAGTTAATGATGACAGTTCAAAAATAGTACGAAAAACTAAAACTAAAACATATGATGAGGAGGAAATGATTTTAAACTTTTCCAGGAATATTTCTTGAAGTTTACAGATAAACACATTTTGAATGGCCTTATCAAATTCTTACTACATAATCAGCGGATAAAAACAGACCCACAGCGCGACACATCACAACGGAACCTCAGAAAGAAGGCGGAAGAGACCTGGGAGACTCCTAGAGGCAGCCAGTACGCACCCGGGGGCTGGAAGATGTTGCCGTGATGCCTCCCCATTTCTGAAGAAATGAAAAATTCCGACACAGACTTGCATATCAAGGCAAGGTGTGAATGAGGGTAGCCTACAGTTTATTCATGTGGTTAGAGTTTTAATAGTTAACTTTTCACGTTCTCTTTGGAAAACACTACGAGGCAAAGTGGCAAAAATGAGGGAGCAAACCAAGAAGGAACATGTGGGATCCAGGTGACAGGGGATCAGGACAGGAGGGGCCGGGGCTGCCCAGGATGAGGCGAAGGACCCCCAGGTGTCCGCCCGGCCCAGGTGCGCAGGGAGCCGGGCCACCTGGGGCAGGACCGGGGGCTGCGAATGGGCGTCTGCAGAGGTGAACGGTGTGGAATGTCGGATATGTCGATTTAGTCTCTGGGGACAGCAGTGGAATGAACGTGTGAAACCAGGCAGAACGGCCCATGGCTGACATGGGATCCGATGCAAGGACCAACCACTGCTTCCCTGGTGCTGACCAGTCAGTGGAGACCCCGACCCTGACTCCCTTGGTCCCCTCTGCAACCCGTCCCCTAGACGCCATTAGAGAGCCGGGTCATAGAGCAGCACCTCGCATGCGACTCCGGGTTTGGTGCCTCCTCCTTAAATAAACCTTTTCTTTCCCTTTCTTTCCCTTTCTTTCTCTTTCTTTCTCTTTCTTTCTTTCTTTCTTTCTTTCTTTCTTTCTTTCTTTCTTTCTTTCTTTCTTTCTTTCTTTCCTCCTTCCTTCTCTTTCTCTCTCTCTCTCTCTCTCTCTCTCTCTCGTAACCTGAGAATATTTCCCCTCCCATAGATTTCAGAGAAAGATAAGGGAGAGGGAGAGAGACAAATCGATGTGGGCGGGAACATCAATTGATTTCCTTCCATAGCACCCAGACCAGGGAATCATACACACAATCTAGGTATGTGCTCTGACCAGAAATCTACTTGCAACCTTTCGGTTATGGAACGATGCTCCAACCAACTGAGCCATGCAGGCCAGGGCAAAACCTTTGCTCTCTTTGTTGCAAATTCCTGTTTGCATTGGATTGGGCTTTAATGTGCACAGGTGAATAAACCCCTTTACTAATAATTTTCATTTATTACTTCTAACATTTTATAATTATTACAGTGACTAGACAGTCATCAGATAAACTGCATGTCATCTATATGCACATGATTAACTTAAACAGCTTTGTTCACACATATCACAGGGAGGCGGGCAGGAGGCAGAGAACAGGGCCCCTGTCCTTGGTTGGAGCTGAGCTCAGAGTCACGTGGCCATTGGGGTGCAGGGATTTCGGCGCCAGCGGCTCCAGTCCCGGTGTTTCCTGCCGGGCCCTTCCCTTCAGCTCCTGCTCTGGTCGGAGCCCTGTCCCCAGGTCCCTCACCTGCCATCCCGTGCGACCCGGGCTGCTCTTCCTGCGGGTTCCAGTCCCACGGCTCTCGCCGCTCTTGGCCTCAGGTCTGTTCTGTGGCTTTTGCTGAAATAAAATGAGCCCCCAATTTTTGGTGTTCCACATAGGCCCAACAACAAACAGAAAACCTTGGGTTCCAGCATTTGTTCCGAGAAATCGATCAGGGGGTAACTGCAGAGAGCGAGATTTCGGAGATTCTCATTGTGTCGAAATGAAAGGCACTTTCTAAATCTTCGCTTGACTTTACCCTCCACCCCCGGTAGAGAAAACAGTCTGGGCTCGTGACAAAATAGTCAAATTTCTCCCCCAAACTGCTCTCACAATGTTGGGCAGGAAGTCTAAGTTATCACCTTTTTAAACTTTAAATATTTTTTATTTTTCAGTTACAATTGACATACAATATTCTATTAGTCTTAGCTGTAAAGCAAAAAGTGATTAAACACTTACATAGCTTATGAAGAAATCTCCTTGATAACTCTAGGACCTATCAGACACCATACGTCGTCACAACAATGTAATTGACTATGTCCCCTGAGCTGTACTTACAGCTTACTAATAAATATTTAGGGCTGGTATTCACTGACAACCATCATATTTTTGTCGCCATGGGTGGAAGGTGTCAGAGGGGCTGAGGAGGGTTAGTGCAGACGTGATGAAGCACACAGTAGGGCAACCTCAGAACATCTCCGGTAAATTACTAATGACAAACACCAGATGGTGATGGTATCATGGGGACACTGGCCATTACCAAACTGCATGAGTCACCAGGATGAACGTCCCCACTGTCGGGACAGGTGGTGTAGTGTCCAGTCCCTGTTCTTTCCTCTTCCACAGACCTGGCTCCCTTGGTGGCAGTGTCTATGCTCACGGTTTTAAATGTCATTTTTGTAGCATCACCTCCCAATGTGTGTCTCCAGCCCAGACATTTCCTTAAAGGTCCCCAGTCTCATCTGTTCAAGTATTCAGCTGAACACTTGAACTGCCCACCCCTCCCCCACACAGGCTACTCACAGCATCTTCCCTATCTCTGCTGAGAGAACCCCGCCTTTCTGCGGCCACAGTACACATGTGGGGCGCCCCCCTTGACTCCTTTCCCACACCCCAGGTTTAATCGTTAGGAAACGCTGTGAAACGCATCTTCCGCACGCGTTCAGCACCCAGTCCCTTCCCGCTGTTCCCACCGCCCACAGCCCGGCAGCGCCCCCAGCGGCTGCAGCCGGGAACGCAGGGAGGCTTCCCGCTCCTTCCCTCCCGCCTCGCGGGTCCCTTGTCTCCTGATTCTGGTCTCAGCCCAGCAGCCAGGCTGGCCCTGCGGCCCGAGGGCTCTCTCCTGGGGAGGACCCCTCAGGGGAAGCCGCTAAGGGCATCGGCGCCTTGGCCAGGACCTTCCAGGACTCGGCACCCGCAGACTGAGGACAGGGTCTGCGGGGGGTTGAGGACAGTGGGCGCCGGAGCAGCTCCTGCTGTAGGCAGGTGTCCCCACCCTCTGAGGGGTCGGCGCTCTGAGCCCCACAGGGACACCCCTGAGGGCTGCAGGCGGGGTCTCGGATGCTCGGGGGACTCCTGGGGCACATAGAGGCACCTGGTTACAATCAGGGGACAAACACAGCCACAGCCAGAGGCTCTGAAAGGTGACATTCGGATGTGCGGGAAGACACCCTGATGGTGCATGGAGGTCAGATGGTCACAGGGAACAACACTGTGGAGCCGTGTGGTCCCCTTGTCCCATGGCACATATTCTGTCCCACCCAGGTGGCTTGATACCTCATTGTGTGTTTATGAACTTAAAATAACTTGAACTGGCTTAATAAATGTGGTGACATGTAGATAAACACCTATCGGTAGCCATACACCTTTGAATTTTAATGTAAATCCCTTCTGAGATATATATATTTCAATTTTATATATATATATATATATATATATATATATAAAAAATTGAAATAATGCAGACATTTTCTGATGCCAGGTGCAGAAGCAGCAGTCAGGGATCCTAAAGTCCCACAGGAGAAGCTTGAATGAATATTGTAGCACCAAGACTCCCACAAGGCAGCTCTGTCACACTGGAAAAAAATGTTATTATGAACAAACTCATGTCACAGTCTCCCACAGCCACCGCAGGCTCAGAACGTCCCACTCTGAGACTCCCCGAAACCCAGCTGTGCCCCTCGGTCCCAGTGCCCCCACTTCCTGCCCTCAGGGTCTACCGTCAGCAGCTGTGAGAGACACATCAGAGCCCTGGATGTTGGCTCTCTCTGCGGAAGGACACAACAGCAGAGTCACGGGGTGGGGAGCCTCCTCCTAGACTCCAGCCACCACTCTCCCCAGGGTCCCAGACGTCCCCTCCCGACACCCAGACTGACAGGCAGCCTGAGCGTGGCTCCCCCTGTCTCTGCCTGTGGGAAGCAAACGCTCTGTGAGGAGTTAGGGGGAGGCTGGGTCCCGTGACCCTAAAGGAGCCCCACACTCCTGAAGCCCAGGGAAGGTTCCAGAATTGTGACTGAGCACCCAGGGTAGGATCAGGAAACACAGGGACAGTATATGTGCTGGCACTGGACCAACTGACCGTCTGGACCTATGTCCTCAGCAAAGACCTTCCCCTCTGACCTGACACCTGGGAATCCGTCCCCATCGCTAGAATCAGCACGTGATAACTTAGTCCCTCATTTTCCCACGGGCCTCACTAAAGGGTCAGTGTTGGCAAAAGGCCCCCGATGGGCAGCACCTCTGTGGGTACGATGCCCACTCACGAGGCGGAGCACACGGCCACCTGGGCCTGACCCCCAGGGAGACAGGGACCTCACCCTACCCCTGCCCACCTGAGCGCTTCCTCCTCCACGTCACAGCCGCAGCGACCGCAGCTCCAGCGACTGCAGCAACAAGGAGACCCAGGGCCGCAGCGATGCCCACGGTGGTGCCGCTCTTCCGAGGAGGGGGCTCTGCGAGGGGGGAGGCGAGAGGCCACCTTCAGGCCCGAGTCCTGACCCCGCTCAGGGACGCCCTGAGGAGAGGCTCTGTGCCCACGCCCCCCCCTCACCCCATCGCAGGGTCAGGGGCTCGGGCAGCCCCGCGTGCTCCACACGGCACGTGTAGCTCTGCTCCTGTCCAGGGGGCACGGCCACGGCCGCCCACTTCTGGAAGGTTCCGTCCCCCGCAGGCCTGGTGTCCACAAGCTCCATGTCCTGGGTCAGGTCCTCCCCGTCACGCTGCCAGGTCAGGGTGATGTCCGCGGGGTAGAAGCCCAGGGCCCAGCACCTCAGGGTGACCTCATGGTCAGAGGTGGGGTGGTGGGTCACTTGCGTCTTAGGAGGGTCTGAGGGGAGGGGTGAGAGATTTCAGGAACTTTACATGGTCAGGGGACACTACCGCAGCGCTCATGTGACCACCCTCAGAATGGACAGGACAGTGGGGGTGGGGAAAGGGAGCGAACTATCCAGACACCAGCCTGGACAGACTGGGCAGATGCTTCAGATAAACGCCTGTTTCCTTGGAAAGTTGCAGAATCAAAGCGAGAGCCTAGGGTACGAGTGTCCAGGTCTCCAAGGGGAGACGAGACTCGGGTGGAGGCCAATGACTCAGAAAAGCCCGGGTCAGGCCTCCAGAGACTGTCCAGTCCCAGAATCAGGGAGCGCATCCTGGGCACCAGGTGGCTGCCGGGTGTGAGGGAGCCGCTCTGGCTGTTCCAGGGAGAGGCTGGGTCCCTTGCTGTCCTCAGAGAAAGCTGGGCCCGCGGGGAGTCACAGAAAAAGGAAACCTGGGGACTGTCCCCTCTCCCGAGCAGGAGGCGGATTCCGACACTGACCACCTCCCTCCTCTCCCTGTAGGAGCCGCCCCAGCCCGCAGACCCCTCCTCGGGGAGGCCCGCACCCCGGTACCTGCTCGGAGCAGCGTCTCCTTCCCCATCTTCAGGATGATGTGGAGCCAGCGCCTGCACTGGTCCTCCAGGATTTCCCTCCAGAGGTCAGCATCAAGGTTTGGTATCAAATTGCGCCAAGTGATCTCGGCCTTCGTGTTGGTCACGGTCCAGGAGCGCAGGTCATCGTTCAGGGCGACGTATTCGGTGCTGTCGTAGGCGAGGTGACTGTATCGGCGGAGCAATCGCCCGTCCGACCCCACGACGCAGCCAGTCATGTCCTGGTGGGTGTGCGGCACTGACCGCACCGGGGAGGTCAGCCCCTCCCACTTAATCCCACCCAGAGGTTGGTGTGACCCCAGGGACCAGACCCATCACCAGGGACCCGCGGTGATTAAACCTAAACAGAAGGTAAATGGTACCGAATCAATAGCCTCGCGGGCTCCTTCCCGTTTTGGGGGCGGGGGGTTTCCACAGCCTCGAGGTGACGCTCGGACTCGGAGACTCAGGGGGACCCAGGACCGTCCGTGGGGGTGGGGGTCGTGCCGGGACCGGGTGCGCGTGGCTCACCGTCCTCGCTCTCCTTGTAGTGGGCGCGCAGGTGGTTCAGGGCCGCTCGTAAAATCTGTTCGCTCTGCCTGGAGATAAACGACTGCCTGTCCCACAAATGTGGGTCCTCCCGCTCCACCCGCTGCTTCTCCAGCCACGGCACCCGCGGCTCCAGCCTCCGGCTCGGGGCGCCGCTGTCGAGCAGCCCAGCCTCTGTGTCGTCCACGAAGCCGATGCTGATGTACCGGTTCTTCCCTCGGCCCGGTCCGGACAAGAGGGTGCTGAGAATTCTCAGGGTGTGGGGGCCTGGGGACGAGGGAAGGGGAATGGTGTCCTGCCTCCGCTGTCGGGCGGTAGGGGCAGGGGGCGCGGGAGATGGCAAAGGGGGCGCTGGTTGAGAGGAGGCGGCGGGGTGAGGGGGAGGGGCGGGTCGAGGGGGTGTCGGGCTGGGCGGTCTGGGCCCGGGGCGCTGGGCCCGCGTCCAGCGCCCCCTCCCTGCCCCTCGCTCCTGCCCCGCAGAGGCCGTTCCCTCCCGACCGCGCACTCACCGGCCCAGGTCTCGGTCAGCGCCAGGGCCCCCGAGAGCAGCAGGAGCAGCGGTCGGGGTTCCATGACCCGCCTCGAGCGTCTTCGGGACTGAATTCGGTTACTCGGTGAAGAGTTTATATCCGGAACCACAGTGACGCTGACTGGCTCGTCTCGAGTTTGGCCACCCAATGGGAGTGAGAACAGGGGAAGCGTCACGAGTATCCATGCGGGAGGACCTGGGAGATGGGAAAGGGAAACCCGGGGGAGGAGACTCCCCAACACCGGGAGTCCCGGCCCCGGCTTGGTCCTGGGACTGAGACCCTGAGGGCCAGGCCCGGGCACCCGGGAATCGGCCCTGCGCCCCCGTCCTGCGCGGAGAGCTCACTGTCCCTCTGCCTCCCTCAGTCCTGGCCCAGGTGCTGTTTTATTCAGCGGCTCTCAAACATTTTGGATTCAGAACATCTGTGCAGTCTTAGAAAATACGCGGAGCCCCAAAATAATTTTGTTTGTCTGGGTTATAGCCATCAATATTTACCAAGGAATAAAAGTTTGAAAAAATTAATTCCTTTCGAACACTATTACCAAAGTACCACTTTAACAGAAATAATGTTTCTGTTTCAGAAAAACTATTTCCTAAATACACAAGGTAGTGAGAAGAGTAGATCTGGTTACATTTTACGTTTTTGCAAGTCTCCGTTCTTGTCTGTATGATTGGAAGACCGCTGGGTTTTCATATTTGCTTCTGCATTTAATTTGTTATGTTGGTTGCAGTATATGAAAAAGTAAACAGACTCACACAGATATGCAGGAGGAACATTTTTAATAAGCTTTTCAGATAGATGTGGCTATTCATCTCTGACAGTTTGCTAAAACTACACAGGTGGTAGGTTCTGAAAAGTTCTTTGCAAAGTGGAACCTGAAACAAAATCATTGACTATTTCCTCTTCTGCTTGAGTGGCTTTTGTATTGATGCAGGATTACTTGAAAATAATGCATTGTTTCACTAACTGTTAAGGACTTTCCAATGTTGATGCATTTAATTACACATCGTCAAAAATCACATTTGTTAATGTTACCGCAGGTCCCACAGAAACATCTGTCAGCTCTGGGAAGCTGTCTCGTTACTGGTGAGACAGAAGTTTTCCCAAATCCTGGTTTTCTCCTGAGAACTTCTGTCCTATCCAGACAACAAGGGCTGTCCGTTGTCAACTCTTAGTGTACTTTCCTTGAAGAAGAAGCTGACCTTCATTTCTGAGACAGTGTTCACCAGGTCACCCACCCTCAGTCACCACAGTTCCTGTGTCACTCACTCTCTTAAGTGGACAGGCTGCTCCATAAGGAGAGGCTGGCTCAGCCCACGCGGGCCATTTCCCCAGGCCCGTGACACTGGGGAAGGTTGCAGCAGCATTTTTGCGTACCTGCCAGTTCATCATAGGACAGGATTTATTTTTTTAATTTTTCATTTTCATTAAGGACAGTTAACAAAGTAATCCATGTGTGTAATGAATTCAAGACATATTTATCTTCTTTTTAAAATAGTGTTTCATTTTTCCATTACAGTTGATGTATAATGTTATGTAGTTTCAGGTAGATGACTGTGTGTTTTGACATTTATATAAATTATAAACCGATCACCCAGACACATCTAGTGCCCATCTGACACTGTGTGTAGTTAGTACACTGTTATTGACTATGTTTCCTATGCTTCACTTTACATCCCCATGACTATCCTGTAACTAAAAATTTGTGCGTACCAATCCCTGCCCCTTTTCACTCAGCGCACTAACCCGGGCACCCCAGCGGCGCCCACCCCGCTGCGGGCCGTGCGTCCTCTCCTGCTGTACTTGAGTTGTGATGCTGGTGGCAACGCGAGAGGTTTACCCCCAGGCTGATCGGCTGCGAGGACTGTCTGTGACCACCACGGAGGCTCTGGCGCCGGCGGAGACATCCTGTGAGTGTGTTGCTGTGCAGGTGGTTGAGCCTCTTTTGTGGCCTGAAGCATGGGGTGTGCTGCCTCAGGGACCACTCGGGAGGTGCGGACCATGGTCAGCCACCACCTCGTTCTGCCTAAGGCCACCGACAGAAATGACAAAGCGATCTGCAGGTGGCTGCTACTTGTGCTGGGCTTGGAGGTGCCTCGGAGAACAAGCTACAAAGCAAGGCCAGTGCCGCTTGCACGGGCTTGTAGCGGGAGATGAAAGGCATGCCCAGGCCGGATGCTGCTTGTTTCACACATTGTAGGAACATCCGCGACATGAGCCAAGACAGGCTGTGTGTACGGAAATTCTTCTCTTGCTGCTTATCCATGTAGTAGCCATGGTGGGACTGCAAGTCGGGCTGGTGGAGTTTCAGGGTGTCAACGGGGTGGGGAAAAGAGTGAGAGCCAGAGGGATGGAGACTCAGATGTGCGCCTGCCTGCCAGCGCTGAGTGGGGAGGGCTCAGAAAAGGAACAGAGGCCTCTGCCAGCTCTTCCGCCTGGGAGACAGCTGCCCCTCAGCCCTCAGTCTGATACAAGACAACTCAGTTGCTTCCTGTATGTTCCTGGTGCCTCCTGAGTTGATGTCCCAGCCCTTGAGCTCAGAGTGAGTCCCTGTGTGTGCAGGCATTTTAAGAGGAAGTCCCTGGGACTCCAGAAGCCTCCGGCTCACTTAGCCCCCAACGCCACTGCTTTTTACAGATGGATGTTGTACAGAACTGTCTTCCTGGCACTGAAACCCTGGGCTGAGTGGCCTCACGTTCGGCTGAAATTCCTCGTTCCTTGGGGGGGGGGGGCTCCACAGCCAAGATTTTCCTTTTGATTTTTATTTGCCCCACGTGGGTGTGGGCCCAGCACATTCTATGTCTCTACCCCTCCCACCAGTCTCGATGTATCTTCTTCAACGTCGTAGTTGTAGGGCTTCTGTTCAGCTAGACGTTAGGTGGTTCTGCATGATGATTGTCTGCAGCGTAGTTAAAACTTTGATTCGCTCGTGGGGTGATGAGAATCTTGCATTGACGTACGCAGCCATCTGTACAGGAAGCCAAGATATTTTAAAATGTCAATTTATGGATGGTGTTTGGTAAAGATGTAGTTTTCAGTCCTTGGACGGTGTCTTTCTACAGTGACACTGGTTAGTTTCCTAATCTGTGACTGGGCCCTGGAGAGGAGCGTCTGCTGCTGCCGTCGGGTGTCCCAGCCCCCGTTCCTGCTACGTTTACCACTGTGCAAACGTCGGCACCGGTGAAAAGGCAAACGATCTCCTTAATCCTCATAGTTTTGAGGATTAAAAATCATTATGACCTTATAGATCTGTGAAAGGCTCTAGGAAACTTCCAAGGCTCCACAGACCGCACTGTGAGAATGGCGGCTCTGGATAAACCAGGGGAGCCTCCCTACCCCCCGGTCTTTGCGCCCCCCTCCCTCCCTAGGATCCCTCTCCCCGAGGGGCCCTGCCTCCCACACTCTGCTGAGAGCGTTGCCCTGGATTCTTCTAGAAGAAAGCTCAGCCCCTGGAAATGAGATTTAGGAGAGTGTCCTCGGTCTGGGAAGGGAGATGGGCGGACAGGTGTTTCCTGTGTGGAGCTGGGAACGGTCTGTGCCCGAAGCCACCAGACCCACGGGAACCTGGTTTGGTTTGTTACACAGCAGCTCAACATGTACCCATGTCCAGACAGAAACCTGGTGTCATGTGTCAGAGAAGTGATATTGTCCCCTTCAGTTTTCATGGCTCTAGTGCTGTGACTCGAGGCCCAGACACCATGAGGCTCAGTTCTGCCCCAAAACATGTTCTGGACCAAGAGATTGTTCTGTGTCTGCAGGTCCAACACTCAGCCACTGGCTGCAGGTGGCTGTTGACCACTTGAAATGCGACCTGTATGTGGAGCAGTTGAACTTTTAATTTTATTTACTTTTAATTTTAAAGACATAAATCTTGTAGCTACAGCTCAGATAGTGCCTACCTAGCAAGAATTCAGTTTGCAGTCCCTGCCTAAGACCCTGTGTGACTCATAGATTGATGTCCATTAAAATTATTGTCATATGGAAGTCAAGGGTCTTCATTTGTCTGTGAGGGTCTTAGATAAATCCTCAAAATACAGCATTCCCAAGAAAGCTTACTTAATAGGCACTTAACCACTAGAGTGTACAGACATTAACCAAAGTGTGACAAAACGCCCTAAGGTTGTAAATGATCCAAAACACTCCGCACTGGAGCTAATCCTTGTGCTCCTCACTTGGGGATTCTTGGTGTTGTTTTTGTGAACCTGGTGAACATAAGCAGGCACGTGAGTCTTCACTTAACTCAAGAGAAAATATTTATTGAACACGACATATACCAAATACCTGCAGGCCCTGAACGAACATACTTAGTAAGTTGTGAAGCCGAAGATGTAAATGTTGGCGTTCCACCTAAGACATCCTCACCTTATTGTCTTCCCCTCAAACAATTGTTTCCCTTCACCTTTGGACCCCTCTCCCCTAGACTAAAATATATATGAAGTTTTTACTATAGTGGAATGAAAATTCTCTCAGCGAGACCCAAAATGAAAAACCATGAAGGAGAACAGAAAACTTTTCTATCTCAAACACGCGGATATTCAAACTCATGCCCACAACCAACTCAAAGAGGCGTAGAAATGTTGACAGAGGAAGATCGCGGGAGTCAGGGCTCCTCCGCCCAAGATCCCGCGGGCGCGGGGCAGAGCCGGCCGTGCGCGTGGCCGCGGCGGGGGGAGCGCGCACCGGGCCGGGGCCGCTGGGAGGGGCGTGGCGGGGGGGACGCACGCCCCAGCGCGAGGGCTCTGGGTGGGACCTCGGGAGGGTGTGTGCGCCCAGGGCCCCTCTCGGTCGGCGTCGTCAGGACGTGGGGACAGGCCTGTGACTGGGCATCTCAGGATGTGCCCGGGGACCGGCGGACGGCGGCGCGGAGGCGGTGGCACAGGACAGACGCGCCGCCGGGGGGCGCTGCGGTGCGCGGGCGGCCCCGCGCCCGTTTCCGTCCGTGCGGAGGAGACACAGTGCGGGGCGGCGCCGTTTCGTCTGTCGTCGCCGTGGTCTCGGGTGTCCTCGTCTGACGCCGGTGTCCCGTGAGACCTCGCGTGTCCAAGGG